CTGCATCTCTCAATGATTCTGAACAAAACAATGTTTAAAAAATTAGACTTTTTTTTTTTTTTTTTAGATACCTTTGGATATTTTTTTGTCTTAATTAGTTACGAAAATCAGTGTATATAATTTCATGTTCTGCAGAAAAAAAGATTTTTGGAAGAAAATGCTGTGGTGTGTCTGTGAGAGGGAGAGATTTCCTTTTTATATTTTTCAATGGTTAAACAAGAATAAATCACTTAAATGGACACCTGCAGCTAAATATGAAATATTAATTCAACACAGTAATAAATACAATATTATTCTCAGTGGCCCTAATTAGAAATAAATCTCAACAATCTTCTATCACCATTTCTTCTGCTTTACTAATGTGATTCATTTGAAAAACAGTCTATTTTCATAAAAAAACAACTGAAGTAATTAACTGATCTCTATTTACCCACTTTCGAACAAAAAAAAAAAAAAAAAAAAAGTACACCCAGCACAGAATATATAGCCTCTGTTATTTATCCATTTTAAATTAACGTAGAAGACCTGCTCCTGGTAATCAAAGAATTAATGGGAAAACAAGGAAAGAAAAGGCAAATCTGCTGATTTCTTGCTGTGTTAAAGCAAGCTCGGTTTAGTTTTTTATCTCCTTTCCTTTTCCCTTCATCCTGCAGGTAAATTACAGCAATCCCCACCCTGAAGAAGTTTAGAAGAGGCAGACCTGTTCCTAGAGGAACAAATGGGCTCTTTCTAATGGCCCTCAAATCTCTCTTCTTGCACTTGAATTCATCCTCCCGTGCTCCCTGCTCCGAAAAAGGCAGCTGGCAGTGAGCTCCAAGTCCTGCTTTTACCCACATCTCTGAGAGGCTCAGATGATGGAAAACAGACATGAATGATTGTGGAACATGTGGAGCTGAATCTAGGCAAAAGAAAGTCATCCTACAAGGTGTGTTTTTAATGGGAGTTCTGGATGTGTGTTTGGTGGGTTTTTTTAACGGTAATTTGTTTCTTAATGATGAACAAAAAAACAACAAATTATTTAGACAGAGCTGATTTGAATTAAAGAGCCCGTGGCTTTATATTTAATTGCTTTATTCTTCTTTAGATCTAGATACATGGAACAAAATCGAGGGAGCATCCATGCAGCCCATTGCTTATGCAAAAAATTTCTGGAACCTTCCAGAGGTAAAAATATCTGGGGATACTGTAGTTTCTGTCTTCAGGGCCATGATGGTTCAACAGAATTCCCTGGTCCAGATAATTAAAATTTTTTTACTTCTATTTTTTCCTGAAAAAAATTAATTTTTCCTGACTTTTACCTCCTGTTCTTGAACCACAGGACTCTGAGAGATGGTGTGTTTAGATGGGATATTAGGAAGCAATTCTTCCCTGGGAGAGTGAGAAGCCCTGGCACAGAGTGCCCAGAGAAGCTGTGGCTGCCCTTGGACCCCTGGCAGTGTCCAAGGCCAGGTTGGATGGGATTTGGAGCAACCTGGGCTGGTGAAAGGTGTCCCTGCCCATGATGAGGGATGGGACTGGGTGATCATTAAGGTCTCTTCCAAGCCAAACAATCTGGTATTCCATGATTTTCTGATCTGTTATGGCCACTCCTGTGAAAGAACCAGATAGAGACATGGAGGTGCCCAACATCTGGGCAGGAATTGATTGCCAAGTCATAAGGAATTAATTTTGTAAGTCCAATGGTGAAATTCAGGTTTGTGTCATAGTTACCAGCATGCTGTAGCTTGATATGTTGTGTCTGTGTCCGCACTCAAGTGTGAAGTAATAAAAAACATCCCAAGTCATAGTTAGTAAATAAGTAAGTTGAATTATATATTCTGACAGAAAGAATGGAGCCACTTCTGGCCTGTAGAAGAGTCCAATCAAGCTCATTTTCTGCACTGGGAGAAAAAGAAAATAGGGATTTTTGAAATATTTTTCCCCAACAGGCAGTAGTTCAGTGGTAAAGCCTTCAGACTAATTTTGGGGAATCAGAGACAGGAGTAATGTACATATAAAATCAGAAGTGACAAGAATCCCTCACTGAGCTTTCTGGAATGCTACCAGGATGGAATTGGTGACCATTCCAGCCACATTGGCAGACATGATATGAGACTTATGGAATTATACAAGAAAAGACTGCCCTGGTTATGTATTTTAACTAAAGTTAGGATTAAAAGTGTTTGTGGGTTTTTATTTAAACAAGTAATGAGATGGCAATCCCAGAGCTATACATTTATAATCAATAGCAGCAATATGACACCTAATGGCATTACTACACACTCAACAGCTGTTAATAAAACCTTTTAAATGTCTAGAACCCTTTAATACTTTTTTGCAAAATATTTTTTTTGGGAGTATGCACTCCCACACAGTGTTCACACACTCCTGTGGATCCACCCCCACACCGTGTGTGCTGCCATCACACATCCCCTCTCCTGGCTCTGGGTTCCCCTCCCTGCACACCCTCCCGGGGGAGGTTGTCCAGCTCTGGGTGTCCTCCTGCTGCTCCTCACACCCACGGAGCCACCAACACCCTGGGGAGCCACGGCTGCACAGCCAGGGTGGGGCCCTGCATCCTTCCCTGTCTGGTTTGTGAGGCATAAACACTGGCCTGGAAGGGTTGGTGGAAAGGTGACTCCTAAAGTGTCAAGCCCAGGCTTTCTGCTGTCTGTTACCTTCCTCTCAATCCCTGAATCATATATTTCCCGTCCCTAATTTTATGCCTTTTCAAGCTGGCTCCTTCTTTCATCCAACGTCTCTTGATCGTGCTCTGGATTAATTTGGCTGATCACCACCATAAGGAAACCTCGATATTTTTAATTTGCTCTTGATCTCTTTCTTGGGTGAGAAACCTTTTAGAGGAGAGAGTTTTGGGTGTTCTGGCCACACAGGTTATTCACACTCCCTGAGTTACCCAGGTCCCATTCCCCAGAGATGTATGGGGTGTTTGTGGCAAGGCCTTGATGCAGAGGGGCTCTGAGGGGTGGCTTCTGGGAGAAAATGCCAGAAGTTCCCTCATGCTCAGCACAGTTCCAGGCAGCTCTGGAATGACTCTACTGCTGGCCACGCCTGAGTGGAAGAAATTGTTGATCCCTACCTACCTTGGGGCAGCTCCACAGCTGCCATCTGGAGAGGAGGCTGAAGTGGAACAAGTCTTCTGGCACGATTTGTTCTGGAGGAGCAAGGCTGGAGCAGCCTTCTCCTGCAGGACTGACCCTGTGCAAGGGACACATGCTGGAGCAGTTTGTGAAGAGCTGCAGCCCATGAGAAGAGCTCTGTCTGGAGAAATTCATGAAGGGTTGTCTCCCATGGGTACAACCCCACACTGGAGCAGTGGAAGTACCTGAGAAGGAAGGAGCAGCAGAAAAACCATGAGATGCAAAGACCACAGTCCCTATTCCTGTCCCCTGTGCTGCTCAGCTTTAGGAGCTATATAAGCTGGGAGTGAGGTTGAACTCAGGAAGAAAGAAGGGTAGGAAAAAGTTTGGTTTAAGTTTGTTGTTATTTCTCATTATCCTACTCTTTGTTATTTGGTAATAAATTAATTCCCCAGAGCTGTCTATCTTGTCCATGCTGGTGATGTGTGAGGGATATTTTTGTCCTTACCTCGCCCACCAGCCTTTAATCATTGTTTTTCTCCGCTGTCACACCGAGAAAGGGGGAATGATAAAGCATCTTGGTGGGCACCAGATATCCAGCCAAGGTCAGTCCAACTCGTGCAGATTACTAAACACTGGAAAACAGACACATAAGGAAAAGGTAGAGATTTTATTAAAGACCTTTTTAACTTCACCAAAATGGATGAGAACATCTTTCCAAAATGTTATTCACTGGAATGAAGAGAGCTTAGAGTTCTTGGTCAGGCAGAGCTCGATCAACTTCCCTTTTTGTGTGGTATATTTGTTATTTCTGGCACCCTCTTACAGCCATAAAGTAAATATGATGTTGCAGGTGGGTTGTGCTACTGTGGTGCTACCTGGTGTTATTTCTGCATGTATATCATGATATGACTTTAACAAATGCAGCACAGATACTCTATTCACAATTTTTCTTTCATCTGGCATTCTGCTTTACTGTTGCAGGTTTCATTTCTGGCCTTTTATGAGTTCTACTTTTCTCTCGTATCTCCCACATCACCAGTGAATCTGTAAAGTTTTGAAATAATTCTTCCTTAGGAGTATTAACTCTACATTTTCTGAGAACACTTTCATTGTGTTACTCCTTCCGGGCTCCCAATATTGCTTTGTCCCTCTGCTTCTGTTTCCTTGTCCTTAGTTTTGCTCTGTGTGAGTGACCAAGGACCACAGCGTTCACTTGGCTGAGTTAACAGGTGCAGGTGGCATCTTCATCTTCATTGAGGTGCATGTCTTCCCAAAATCTCTTCTGAACTTAGGCCTAGATTAATACTGCTGTGTCTTTAAACCATCAAAATCAAGCTAGTTCTTTATCAGCTATTTTGCTTTTTCTTGTGGTATATAATTGATATATGAAATTTTCATGTGTTCAACAAAACATATATTCTGTTTTTCAGTTACAAAATCAATTAATTTGCTAATGAAAAGCAAGTTCTTACAGGTGAACCACTTGTCCTTATTCCGAACTCTTAAATCAACACTATTGTCTGACCAAGGCTATGTAAAACTGACATAATTTCTCACTGTTTATGGTCCTGGAAAGCTTTTTATCAGTAGGGAAATTGTAACTGAGGAAAATGCAATACAACATTTTTCTGTGATTTCATCCAACAACTCTGAACAGTCTGTCCTTTGACGGTGAAAATGCATCAGAAGACAGGAGCTCACCTAACTGGGTGACTACTGTACAGCGTACAGGCAAACACTTTCTCTGCCAGTAAAGGCTGGATTTTGTGGCTGTGCTCTGAGAAGAAACTCCAGTGAGATAACAGATGAGATGGCAGCAGGTGTAGGAGTTCCCATGAATAAAACAGAAGCAGCAGCAATAGAGGAGCTGAGCAGCTGGGCTTAGGTACTCGATGTTGTCATTCTCTCACTGCAAGATTGATTCCATGGATGTCTCACTGAAATTATTTTAGCTGGCTAGTTGGATTTTCCTCTAGTTTTGTCTGATAACTGATTTTTCTTTCTAGATGTGTGTTTTGCGTTTATCATGGTAAATTTAGGAAAATGGCTAAGAAAAGTCTTGACAAAAATCAGCAAGTTACTCAAGAGAAAATATAAAGTTATATTCCTCTTCCTTTGGAGCTGCTGGAAGTATTGTGTTATAGAATCAAATCTGCTGTGTGCACTGTGCATCTTTCTTTTTTTCTGTACTTACCATTCCCTTTGGTTCTTAGATGCTTTCACAGAAGACTATAAAGGACCTTTGCTGGATTAATTTTCTTTATCACCTAAACTTGTTATATAAAAACAACTTCTCTGCAAGAGAGCCTGGTAGTAACACGGTAGAGTTTTCCTTTTATATTATGTACATTGTAAACTCTTGTCAGCAAATTGGATGCTAATAGAAGCAGAGGAGAATCCACGCTTGTGTGGCTGAATTCCTAACAAGGGCAAATCCAACCAGTGGGCTACACTGAACTGGTTTAGTAACTGAAACTGAATTTACTGTTTTGCTACAAACACAGATGCTGGTGCTTCATCATGAGTCCCTTTTACCCAGGGGTGAGAGAGAGGGGGATTCTTGTGAGTAGAAGCAGATGGCACTTCTGCCTATTTTAAAGCAGTCTCATTAAGAGATGCTGCTGAGAAAAACTGCATGGACTTAATTTTTTTTTTTGGTAATGTGTAAATTTGGAGAGCATTATCAGCAGATATAGTCGTACTGTGAGAAAAAAATAAGTATGATTTGTGGTTAATTCCAAAATTAGGTGTCTCCTTTGCTCAACTCTCATGTCATAAAAAAAGCTACAAAAGAAAGATAAGCAACTCTGGACTTCTTTATGGAATTACATAGTTACAGTGCAAATTTCGTGAATAATTTTTCAAGGTTCTTAACTGCAAAGAGGCTTGTAAAAGTTTGAAAATATAAACTGTTATGAAATACCATGTTTTGCTCCTCTGAGAAAAAAATATACAAAATTTTAATTTCTAATTAAATGAAGAATTTTTCAATCCAAATTTCAGCTCAGAACAATATTATTGTTGTTTTTATTGTTTTTATCAGCCACCTGCCATGTACTAAGTCCAAGTAAAAACATGCAAAGACCAGTCCATGGAATGTGCTGAGGCTTGAAGAGTTTGTTGTTCCTGTTTCTTGGCTTGCATAAGGAGGTAAGCAAAGAACTGAGAGCTTACTAATACCTGACAAAAAGCTCCTTATTTCCTTATGGAACAGCAAATGCCTGCCCCAGATAGTGCAGGTCAGGTGGGTAATGTATATCTGCATGTACCTCAGACATGGAGAACAGCACAGACAGGTCTGTCAGGGATATAAACAAGCATTTTATGTTCCATTAGTCTCTTGGATTTTATTCTCAATTTCTCCAAGAGAAACAGGCTTTGATACCATCCCTGCACTGAGTTATAGCCCATTATACTGAGAAACCTGAGAAATAAATTTGCAGGCATTCACACATCCCTCAAACCACTCAGCTCTGAGATGCTTCACTCAGCATCGCCTTCCCTGCAGGATCCACTAATTGACAAGTCTGCTGAAGCACAGGAGAGATCCAAGGTGCACACACTGAAAGGAAGAGAGAGAGTTGAGGGTCTTTGGTGTCACTGTCAAGGGGATGGACCAGGCTCTGCTCTGTGGAACAGAGGAACAGGCAGGAACTGATGCCCAGGAAGTTTCTCCTGGATATGAGGAAGAACTTTCCACACAGTGAGAGAGCTCTGAAAGAGACCAGGTAGGAGGTGAAGTCTTCCTCACTGGGGATATTCCAGAACCATCTGACAATCCTGTGCCATGTGCTGTGGGATAGAGATGCTGGAGCAGGGAGGTGGGATCAGATGAGCCACGGTGTAAAGCCAGGGACCTCAGATACCGGGAAAGCTGGGCAGGACTGAACACACATCCAACGAATATGATTAATGCTACATTCTCTGTTTATTTGAGAAAAGATGGCAGTTTATATACACTTCTATATAGTTTACAGTTTACAAAGGCACTCTCATTGGCAAGCTAACATTGTTTGTCTTTGTCTTAAGGTGGCCTAAACCTTACACTATAAACCTGTTCTACTTCACACACAGACAGCCCAGTGCTTCACGTCACACCTTAATACAGTTTCTAACTGCACCACAATCTCTTAATTTCTAACTGCATCAGAGGCTGGAAGGCCTCACAAGGCCCAAATCTGAGGCCTAGACTGGAGTAGCTCAAATCTCATTCCAGACATAAATCATGCCCTCTCTCTCTCAGAAATTCTGTAACAACTGTGGGTCTTTCCAGCCTTGTTTGTAGTATGATTGTACAGACAATGAGACCTTCCAGCCTTGTGCTTGAAGGTCCCTCTCATGGGCTGTTGTTTCACACCCCAGCAGCAGAGTGCATGCGCATGGCCCAGAGCTGGCAGCTGGGAAAGCCAGAGCACATATTTTAGCTTACTGCTGACCACCTCATCTTTTTTCATCCCTTCAAGTGGGGCAGATCTTTTTTGAAGTGAGAAAAGTAGTTAGCTCTGTAGCAGCAGGAATTGGTAGTAGTCATATTGTAGAACCACAAATCATAGAATCACAGAGCCTCAGCATCACAGAATCACAGAATAGCCTGAGCTGGAAGGGAGCCAAAAGGATCATTCAGTTGAGCTCCTGTCCCTGCACAGACACCCCAACAACCCCACCCTGTGCACCCCTGGGAGTGTTGTCCAAACCCTCCTGGAGCTCTGGCAGCCTTGGGGCCGTGCCCATTCCCTGGGGAGCCTGGGCAGTGCCCAGCACCCTCTGGAGAAGAACCTTTCCCTGAGCTCCAGCCTGACCCTGCCCTGGCACAGCTCCAGAAGTTCCCTTCAATCCCGTCTGTTGGAATCCTGGATGCTGAGAATTTTAGACTTTCTGTGCTGAAAGATCCACAAGAGAACACTGAATTTGACCTGATGCTGTGGAGAAGACGTTAAAAATTGGTTGGTAGTACTGGGATTACTGGGTGTGTAGCTAATTAGAAGTGTGTAATATCTCAGGGGGGAAAACTTAGAGTTTGGGGTTTATATAGAAATAAATATGAAGCAAGATGGAGGTTTTAGGGTGGAGAAAGATTGTTCTTTACCTTCATCCTTCTTCTTCATGGGTTTGGGTGATGTTTTGTGATTGGACAGAAAAGTCTGCATTGCAGACTTTGAGGGATCAGTTATTGGGTTAAAAGGGAAAATAATCTAGGTGTCCTTTCTTAATTGGATAGGTTAGTTTTAAAAGACCTTGTAACAAGAGCTAGTTAGCCACTTTGTGCCTTGGTAATGAAAGGCTGCAGAACTCATGGTTGTGAGGTTGTTTCACTGATAAGAAATAATAAACACCTGAGTCCAAACATGGTCTGCAGTCTCAAGTGCCTTCAATCCTGACCCTGAGAAAAAGAAACTTGGAAATTTGAAAAGCCACAGAAAAGCAAAAAGTTTTCATTTGAAACATTCACATGGAAAAAAAAAGGCCTTTGGTCCACACAGAAATCTGAGAATTCTTACAAACCTTAACAGAGAAGGTGCAAGAAATGAGGACCTAATAGATAATGTAATAAATGAAAAGAGAGAACCAAAGTTCTCACAAATTGAAAGGATAATAGCCTTTAAAAAAAGTTAAAAGGAGATAATATCAGGTTGTTTCCTTACAACCACTTTTATCTGTAAGAGAAACAAAACACAACTTACATAATTTGGCAAAAGAATTTCAATCCTAAGTATTTTTCTTTTATAGAATTTCTAGACAGGACAACTCTGAAGAATCTTTATGGCTTTCTTCTATTTGTTTGCTAATGTCAGTGACTTTTTAAATCTTCTTGGGGAAATTAAAAAACAGTATTTTATTCTTTTACAATGTGTAAACAAACAACAGAACTGCAACATGTGTCCTTTTATATCCTTTTATATATCTTTTTTGGGCAAAGAAAACTAATAACAGCTTGCAGATCAAATATGAGATATTGGAATCCAGCCCTAAAGATGATATTTATTTCCAGCATTCCCAGGCCTATCAGTGTACAAGGAGGAAAATGTAATTTGACATTGCTGCATTTGAATAGCATTCATGGTTAATTAGGTTACCAGTACCACTGGCAGGGTTTAATATTGTCCCTTAGGAGTAGATCTTTTACCACACTGTATGCAAATGATAACCTTGAGTATCTATTTTATCCTTTCCATCAGTACTCTGCTGTGTTCTGCTGCTCTACAAAAATATAATACACTTAAAATAACAAAGACAGCAGTAGCTGCAGTTTTATCCAGATGTAATTTATGCTATCTGTCGGACATACTGAGAGCAACTGAAAATTTGGAGATTTCTGAATTAATCTCAGCTAAGTCCTGGAGTTCTAGAGATGCTGGATCTTCTGCTGAAATCTTAACACTGTCTTGTACTCAAATGCTTTTTCTGTTCCAACTCTGACTCTCTCATAGTATCAGTATCCAGAGAAAGACTCAATCCTGAAAGTTATATAGAAATTCCATTTTGTCTGACCAAACTGCAGCATGTACATTCACAAAGTCATGTTTTTCTTCCTCCATAACTTTGCTAAGACAGTAGACTTAAAACCACAACAGCAGTATTTTCTCATTTCTAAATCTACATGTTTATCTTGCATTGTCTAATAGTTGCACCGTGAAGAGACTGCACTTGAAATTTCTTTGTGTGGGAGTTTAGAAAGTGTAAGTAAGTATTTTATCACAGTCCTCTTCTACACAGAAACCCACTAGAAAACAGAAATTATATCAAAATAAGATAAAGAGTCTTTAAATATAAGGCAGCAAACGAGACAAAAGGCTAGTGCTGTTTCCCTTTTACCTGTAACTGCAGATTTCATGTGACTGTCGTGATGTCCATGAGTAAAAATGGTGCTCCTCAGTCCAGTGCCTTCTCCAGGGCTCTCCAAACCACTCACCTGCCACCTGGAGGCAAAAAGAGTGAAGATGATGGGCTGGGATCAGAAGCAGGTGCTGGAAACAGCAATGAGACAAGAAAAGGAGCACTAACAGCAGCAATAGTTAAGCCAGACAGTAAACGAAAGGATTCCCACAGAAAAACCCGCTGAGAACAGACAATACCAGGTGGTTCTCTCAGCCTTGTTTCCTCCACCAAGAGGAATCCCTACTCCCCAAGAGAGACTCCCCCTTTCCCCCACACCTGGCAACTGTGAGTCAGTACAGAATAACCTCAGGCTCTTTGCTCTGCCCCACCTGGCAAAAAAAATTAACCCTATCCAGACCAGAATCAGGCCAGGACTTTTCAAATATGATATAGAGAACTGCTCAGAAATGACATCTTGTGTATGTAATTGAGCATTGTCTTAGTGCCCATGAATGAATTTAAATGGGCATAGAAATAGATATCCAGCTGCAACTGTATTTCTCTGCAAACCTTGTAGATGACAAGTAAAAATAAGTCACTGTTTTCTACTAGACAGAATTCTCATATACTTTTTAGCTATTTTTTTTTTTTAATTTCAGAAAGAACTTTAAACACTATTTGGTCATCAGAGAATCTAATTATATTTCTTGTCATGTTCTTGAATTATTTTCTGTCACTGGTTGAAGGATTGTGTTTTTCTTTCTAGTTTCAAAATTATAGGTCCTACAAGGATGCAAAGCAAAAAAACCTCTAAAAGATTTTCATTGAAGATTATAACTGTATTCTTTTTTCAATTTTAATTGTGTTTAACTGTGCTTTTCAGGAAAATAAGCAGGAAAAGACACAAGATGTCAAAATGTTATATTTTCTAAATATTTTTTTTGTTTATATTAAAATTTCAGAAAAGTGGTATATTGCAAAGCCCAGCAGCACACAGCACCTTTTGAGTGTCAATGTGCCTTACCTCAGATTTATTAGTACTGAAGAAAATTAATATAAGATTCATATAAGCAAATTCAGCCCCAAACTTTGTGGCTTTGCTGAAGTTATGCCTGTGAGGACTTAATTACATTTTCTGCTGAGCTATCCCAAGAACTTTCCTGAACTTTTTGTTCTTGAAGAAGTTGCTAAGCACTTTTTTCCTTCACCATCCTCTTCATCCCCCTCAGAAAGGGCCAAGCCCATTAAAATTTGATCCATTAATTTTTTACAGTAAGTTAATTGATGGGATATTAAGGCTACAAAAGTGGGCACTTGCTCTCTACTTCACCTCTTCTTATCCTCCAGTTGTCATTGCTTGAGAAATGAAATGCCTGAAAGTGGAACTGCCTTTTTAAAACCAAGCCTACAGAATGGCAGGGGATCCCCTTTTCTTTAATCCAGCCTGACACTGATCAGACATAACCCTCCATCTGAATGCTGAATGGCAACACAGATGGAAGATTTTCCAGGCTTGGATATTTATCTGGAGATGGTCACTACAGCTTTGGCAGGGAAACACTATTCTCTATTGATTTAGGTAGAAACATAATTCTGCTTTTAAAGTGAAGAGAGAATTTATATGCAGAGTCTAATAACTGAGGATCCTATTTTGATCAGTGAGTAGTGCAAATCATGACAATTCAGTGTCTCTCCCCTACCCTATTACCATACATTAACATCTATTGATACATAAATAGATTCACTTATTAAAAGACTACTTTATGGTCTTATGGCATACATTTCATTTTTTAGCAGATGGTGTTTTTTGTTGCTGATGCTGATCACGTTTGTTTTCTGGTAGGAAGTACAACACTATCAACCTAAAATCAAATTTAATATCTGAAAATAAAATCAATTCCTGCATTCTGGGTAGGGATGTTAAAGTCCCAGGAGACCTGACTTTGTCTAACAAGGTACAAACTCAGATTTTTTTTTTTTTAACAGCTATATTGCCTAAAATGTTTAATCATGGCTTTCATTTTAAAATCTCTACTTTTCATTTCTTCAGAATGCCTTTGTAAAGGCAAGATTTCAGCCAGAACCACTTCAGGTGTTCCACATTTTCCTTCAAATCCTCCCCCTACCCACTTAAATTGTGTATTCTATAAACCTAATAAGAAGTCAAACTTTTCTCTTTCCACTTCATGGACAGCATCTTAGTCCAGAGTCTTCTTGGATTAGAAATTTTAACACCTGAGAAGAAAGCTAACAAAATAGTCCATTTGGGAATCAATTCTTAAAAGGGAGGCAGATGTCCACCTGTTTCCTTCTCAGAATCTCTAATGCCTCTGAGCTCTCCTTAAACAAAAACAAAAACAAAAACCACCAAAACAAACAAACAAAAAAACCCAAAACAAAACAGAGCAAAACAAAACAAATTAAAAAAAAATTATTCTTTCTTCACCAAGGCTGTCTGGTTAGGTGCATCAGCAGCTAGAAAAAAGTAGTCTCTGTATAATGAAGATGCTTTTCTTTGGGACTGTCTCTATGCCATAAATCTGTGCACAGACATTTCTCCTTTTATATCCTATTCCATAAAGTCAAGCTATTCTTCTTCATCTTCACCATCTCTTCCAATACATTTTACTGTAAGGGTATCTCTTAAAGCAGGTCCTAAGATTTTTGTTAGGGAATGGGTTTGCTGTTGGACTGCAGATTTTATAATGTGTGTTTTCTGCTAAAAGCTAAATCAAATCCATTGCAGAGAATACTTTTTGAACTTGTTAGCATGGATAGGTTCTCCAAGATGGGATGATACAATTATTTACTTCCTAAAGTTTTTTCATGGCACACCCTGCCTATGTTCAGTAGCTAAGTGCTCCTTCGAGTTGATGCACAACCTTTTTTACTCTGCAGCATGCACCAACTATTCATCTATGTACTAATTCCATCCATATTACTTCAAGTTGCTGACTTCTACCATCATTTAAGCTATTATATATTTGGTTTTAAATTAGCTGTTATTGTATTAAATACCTTATCTTACACTGGCATCTGTCTTTCATTTTTAGGGTATTTTTGAAGCTATATTTTTATCCAAGGTCTCATTTTCCTTTGTGGATACTTGCAGAGCCTGATTTCTCATTCCTTATGAGACATTTCCTTATTTCCAATGCTTGTCTAAGAACATTTTTTTGATCTTTTCCTTTATGTAATGTACTAAAAAAGAAAAGCAAATGAGGCTTTGCTCTTTTTCTATATGTGAGTATCTACCTTTTCATTTATATATCTCACTTCTAGAGACATAACAGATGCCAAAATGTTATTTACCTTCTTGCTGCTACCAGACATTGTGCACATAGCTGATGTACTATCCTTAATCAATCCCAAATCTTGTTACTGCTCAGTTTTGTGGGTTAATATTTTTATTTGTGCTGTAAAATTTGCATCATGTAGTTCTGTATCTTCTTTTTCTTTTTCTTTTTTTTTTTTTTTTTCATTCAGAGTAATGAGTCACTCCAGCTGATGCCTTCAAATTCAAATGGCTAGAGATGTTTGGGAATCTATTCTCTATCCAGTGATATAAAATACAGAATTTATAGCTCAAACAAGGTCTCATTAGGCCAAGTAGTGCCAGAGGCCTGAAGTCCATGATGTATTTACCAGCCCAAAAAGAAGTCAGCAGGATTTGCAGGGAAAAGCAACTCCTCTGGAGTGCCTGTGTAGAGCACTTTGTGTTTACTGTTCAATTTCTATACCCAGGAGCTGTCACAATACCTGTGTTCCTCTCCTCACAACATATTTCTTACCCAGAAGATACAAATGATGCATTTAAGTAATAAGGTGAATTCTGAACTTTAGCTCCCTAAATCTTGTGTTTAAGACCTGTGAGCAGCCACCATGGCAGAACTGTTCTTTTTGTTGCTAAAGTTTCCAAAATTCCAGGTCCCAAACGCATTTGCTTATTCCCCTGACTAAAGGAGTAGGCAGGAAGCAGCTCAAGCACAAAAAAAGTGAAACAAGTGAATCTTCCTGTTTGAATCGCAGCTGATTAATTTAATTTGTATGTCCCTTGCCAAAGCACCACCACCAGCAATCTTCATTTCCTCTTGAGTCCCCAAGCACCACCACCAGCAGAAATCTTCATTTCCACTTGAGTTCCGACAGAACAAAACAAACTATGTAGGAACAGCATGTGAATTGGTGAGCTGTCAGGTCACAATGAGTGTTTTGTTTGCAAAACATCCATTTAGAACCTCATTACCCCAAATGAGCTCCACCTGCACTCCATTATAGCAGCTTTATTCTTTTGTTTTTTTAAAGTGTAGGAAAATTTCACCTCATCTAGAATCAAGTCTGTGCAACTGAAGGCAATGGTGTTGGATGGGCAGGTTTAAATTAAGGTTTAGCTTGATGGATGAAGCATGGAACAGGAGTAAAAACGCTATACATGAAATATTGCATCATTATAACTAGTAGGGTCAGAGGCACTTTTGCTGTCAAGTGTCTTCTGACCTTGCTCAGCTCTCATGCTGCAGAGATTTTTATAAGCTCAATGTTTTGCCAGGAAACAAAAATACTTTGTCTTTTTGCTTCATGAGAAACTGATTAATTTCCTTTGATTTGTTAAAAAACCCCCTGAGGACAGTGAAGGAGGTCACTGAAGATAAAGACAGGAACCTCAAGGGGTGAGCACGATTCCCTCTTTGAGCAGGTCATATTTACCCTAGAAGTTTTGAAATACAGAAAGTTGATATTTTCAATTTCAACAAACAATTGTTTAGCAAGTACTGTAAACTTTCCTCTTACTCCGCCTTATTTTCCAAACAGCTGTAGAGATCTGAAGAGGCTGAAGCATTTTCACTTGTGCCTTGTCCTCCCATTAGATGCTTTCCAACCAGATTTTCTTCCAGTCAGCTGTTGAGACCATCACCACTGTTTCAATGTTCTGCCTGGAGTGTGTTCTTGTCTTTCAGTTTTCCATTTTTTTCTTACTCTTGGGATATTTGTCCTTTCACGAGGCCTACTGCAGTGTTTTAGTCCTAAAACACGGCTCTGTTGAAAGGTTCAGAACTTACATCCTGCTAGGCTGAAGTGTTATTTCTTCTGGAGGGTTTTT